TCGGGGCCTTTGCCTTTGTCTCCGTCAGAGGTAGGTGCGGGCAGGGAAACTGGGATCCCTGGCCAGCCCCCCTCCTCTGCCACTCCTCTCCCTTCCCCAGAGGCACCCATCATACAGGGGGACCCCAGCACCTACCAGGTGGAGCACCCTGGGGGTGATGCCCTCCTTGACTGCGACGCCCGGGGCCATCCCGCGCCCCTCGTCTCCTGGAGCAAGGACGGGGTGCCCGTGGTGGCTGGTGGGCGTCTGCGCCAGCTGCAGAATGGCTCCTTGGCCATCCATGGTGTGGGGGTGAGTGGGGTCTGGGGGGTGTTGGTGCATTTTGGGGAGCTCTCATGGCAAAGTGCTGTGCCAATGCTCTTGGTACTCCTAGAGCACCGACACGGGGCGTTACCGCTGCACAGCAGAGAATGATGTGGGCACAGTAGCAAAGGTTGTCACCCTGGTCCTGCAGAGTGAGTGCTGTCCCCCTTTGCACCCTCCTTTTGAGGGAGTGCAAATCCTGTCATCCCCAGTCCTGACCCCTGGGGAATGGCCCCAGTACCCTGGGATGCTGTGACACTGCCCACATCCCTCTCCTCACCCAGGTGCCCCTGTGGTGGCAGTGACACCGCGAGTGCTGGCAGTGCACGCCGGGCAGTGGGTGCTGCTGCACTGCACCGTGTCTGGGGAGCCCACCCCCTCTGTGGAGTGGCAGCGGGATGGGGAGCCGCTGCCTGAGGGTCCCCGTGCCCATGTCCTGCCCAATGCCACCCTGGTCCTGCCTGCTGTCACCCACCATGATGCCGGCAACTACTCCTGCCTCGCTCGCAATGCCCTGGGGTCCGCTGTCGCCCACGCCTCCCTGGCTGTCCAAGGTGGGTGTCTGCCCCAGGGCTCGGGGTGCTGGGCCTGCCCGCAGTGCTGTTACACCCTGGGGTAAGACCTTCCGTGCAGTGCTTTGGAGGGATGTTGCCTTTCCTTGCTTGCTCCAACCCCCCTGATTCACGCTCTGGTTTGCCCTCTTGTGTCTGTTCCACTGCTCATCAGCAGTTCTGAGCCCAGCCAAGCCCTTACCCGAGCAGCCCTGCGTGCCAGCCCGCATCCCTGCTCGCCTCTCCCCGACCTTCCTGCATTTGCTGCCCGTGATTAAATTCCCATTTCCCAGGGGCTCTGCTGAGTGCCCAGACACATCCTGCCTCGCTGTCTCTCGGGGAGCAGAGGGCTGGGTGGAGGAAGCACCAGGTGCCCTGGGTGCCCTCTGTGCTGCTGGTGTTCTGCTGCCAGGCGTGCCAGAGAAGCAAATAAAACCTCAGGGCTGGGGCAGGACCTTGGGTGTTGATAGAGAGCAGGGTTTGTTGGGTTAGTGCACATTTGTGAGCAAGAGGTACAGGGCCACGCTTGCAGCTTCCCCTGTCAATGTGGCACCATGCTGCCTGGACCCGTGGGGTCTTCAGGGGCTGCTCTTGCAGCAAGGTAGGGACGCTGCCTGCCTCGCTCTGGCTGCCTTCATGTCCAGAAAATGAGATTTTCTTGACACACAAATTATGGAGAGGGGAGACAGGGAAGCACTCTGCTTTCCTATGGGACAGCGGCCCTGATGCTGCTGCCCCTGCCCCTTTCACCCAGGGGAGCCACGCCGGGTCCGGGGCAGCCTGGTCGGTGTCCTCAACGCCCAGGAGCTCGGTGTCACCAGCCTTGATGCCAGTGTGCGGGATGAT